CTCTAGAAGAACAACAATGAGGTTGCTAGAATCATTTAGGACGTTCAGAAATATCAAGTTTTAACTGCCAGTAAGAAGTATAAAACTTGTGTACATTCCGTTTTCCTGTGTTGTATCTCTCATTTTCATGTACTTCCACAAAGCTCGAGCTAGTAATAAATGCAGATATGTGCTGTAAAGTATACACAGAGATGTGGGGGATGATACAGATAATCCAAAGATTACTTCAGATTCGCTAGTACTTTAAACAGCAAAGATATGTTGATTCAAAGCATTCCCCGTAAGGTTTCGAAGCTATTTGTATGACATACTCAATTATATTCTCATTCATTAGTAGTGAAAAAACATTCCATCCCCGTAATTTTTGGGGGATAAAAACTGTCGAAAGTAATCTGAAATATTTTATCAACTGACTAATAATGCTCTTCAAAGTTTTAGTTCAAGGTTGAAGGTAAATACGTTTCTATCTGAGTCGACATCACAGATTATCAAGGCTCCTAAGAATTTTAAGGTTACTGACAACTCCAGAAAAAAACCAATAATGTTGTATGTTTAGTTAGCAATATGCCTCGAATGGACTAATCTGCGTTGAGGGTAAAACCATTGTAATCTAGACAAATTTGAAGTTGAACGACATTCTTGCGAAATTTCAGATCACATGTTAGACTCCAAACTACTATGTGTGGTTGAGAACCATCAGCAAAGGTTAATAATTCAGATGTTTGTTGACAACTACCATTTGAATAAATGAAGAAGAAAATTCCCAATGTAGAATCCTATGGGACCCCATCATCACATTTCACCACGTAGGAAAATGAGAATTTTAAACTTAAGTATTCAAAAATGGTGAACCGAGTGTGATGATTGGAAGTATTTAAATTATTACACGTACTGAGGATTCCCGAAATAACGCAATTAAGGCCAAACAACTAGGTGAGAGCAAAAAAACATGCTGTATTTGGAATTCAAAATCAGGCCGTCATCAAGTACTAACGACTCATTAATTCATACAAACAACACAGCTAAATCAATTTGTATGTGGTAGCTTTATATACGTCGGCTTGATATTACTGGGAAAGCAATTATAACTAACCTTATCGATAGCTTTTGTCCAATTATATTGTGGTGTGTGCTTCTGATGTCGATATATATATGTAGTAGGTATCATCAATAGAAAGTGAAATACCTGTCTGCCCAAGGTTAAAAAGATCAAAGAGAAAAGAACGAAAACAGAGAATGATTTCTGTGGAAACGAAGGAACAATGACGTCTGAGACAACTGACTGATACCTTTCAAATGAAAATTTTTTGTACGGTTCTCAGATTTTACTGAGATACCCTGTAATTTTGTGTTCAAATATATTCCGCCGTCCCCACTTATGTTCTTGTTCACTACAATAGTATGCTACGTACACTGATCCAGAAATATCCAGAGTGATGTTTCATATATCCATTTCGTTATATCTCTTATTCAAGAGTGGTTCGTAATGACTGTTTCGTCGGGGAAAGGAAAAATTTATAAACATCCCGTTGTAGAAAGATTTATCTGCCTGACGTTGCGTCCTACCGATAGCACGTGATCAAGTCACACGGGCTATAAGTTTTCGAGTCAAACTCCGAAACTCATTACTCACTAAAAAACGAATTTGAGAATTTGCAAGCTACTAACTACACAATTAGATGTGGCTAGCTACACAGGAATTACCTGGCAAGAGAACTGACATTCTCACGGAGTGTTAGTACATCTAGAGGGTCCTCATTTGCAGTTTTGAATTTGAGATGTTAAAGTAGAAACTCATTGTCCTTTGGTGACTAATAAGTGTTGATGTGAATATCATTATTTCCACTGTGTTCGGTTATATTTGTTTAACTTAATCCTGTAACTTGAACACTGACTCCAAATCCAATAACAATTTGGCTTACCTATCATGAGCTTTGATATGTCCTATAATAATATAAATATGTCTTCCTGCTTTATCGTCTTCGAGTTTGAAGTCTGAAATTACTTCTCGAGAAGGAATGTGAATGACATCATCGAATTCTGGATACTCAGAATATCCTCAAGTGGATAGAATTCGAATTCAACAATAAGGGATGGATATGTGGCGATAAACAAATCCCCATATTAGATACCTACATAACTCTTCAATATTTGGCCTGACCTCATCAGCTTAACAAGGCACACGCCAGCTGAAGACGCTCGGTCACGCAACACTACCGGGTCACGATTGAGTGAAGCATGCTACTCATCCTCTACAACAAGTAAGGGACTCAAATCTAACAATTTTCAGCATTCCTAACGAATATATCTTCGAATTTCATTCACGACTTTTAGGTTGACTGTGCTTTCTATCTGCGAGTATGAAACTGTCACGGACATAAGCTTCATCAGTCCCTGAATATCTGTGAAATCTCCAGAAACAAGACTGGTCTAAAGTATTGGTACTATTGGATAAACTCCACAACCTGATCTCGTGCAGCGTCAAAATTCTTCGTCGCACTGGCTGTAGAATACCTAACAACCGTATCAGAAAAGAAATAAATATGGTTCCAGTATTAATAAAAATTGTAAGAGAGCTGAAGCGATAAGTGAATGTACTAAAATGCAGTCAATTTAAAACTACTATCAACATCCATGTGTACGGCCGGCGGTCATCGATACTATTATTTATTACCAAGATTGATTCATTATATTTGAATACGGCTGTCAGTGCTTGTTTACAAGAACTTATGTGGATAATTGTCAGAGTGTGTAGTGAATAAAAGATTTTGATGTAAATTTAACAATTTCGTACGATGCTTAGCACCTCTGAAGATGACATTTGGGCTGCGGATATAATAGTTCTTTTGGTGTAATTACGGATGAATTTCACAGAATGGCCGTACCTACAAGGCCGAGTAGTATCATACAGCCTTCACAACAGACCTTCATTCCGTGTCAGATGTCGAATGTGAATTTTCTCAGTTTTCTTGTGTTAAGTTTCGAGTATCGTGTGGTCAGAACCAATACCACTACGAATTCTTCAGATGCTGAGCAGTCCATGAATTGATTAGAGAGAAAACCACCAGTTTTTGGCGTCATGACAGTTCACAGTAGCCTGCAATGTGAATAAGGCAAAGACAGAAGTCGACAGCTCTTTTGTCAAAAATCACTTCGTTCGCCATGGTCCCAAAGCGACTAAGACCAAGAGCCGAGAGTGACGAAAACACCCTCATCTGATAGTAGGTAGCAAAAACCATAAGGCCAGCGTCAGCATCAAAGACTCATATAACTAATTATATATGCCATCGGTTCACTACTACATATTTATTAGAATCTAAACGGAAGGAATACTCTAATGAATTAGCTGTGAACTGAATGGATATTCCTGTCTTCCGGAAGGCTTGAGAAAAGTGAACTAAAACGAGTTTCATCAATCACTCTGTAGTGTAAAGTAACTCTATGCATCAATATTTTTACAAACACTTGATAACAGAGCTAAAATTTCTAGTTTTTTTATGGTACTTGGTAAACAATCGCAACCAGATTACTGTACGACAAGCCCCACAACACTGACAAAACTCTGAAAAGATAACTTACAACAATCATGCTCCTCTACTTCAATTCATAGTCACACATACTTCTTCTTTCTAACCTATATCATTTCGAATGTCTGCTCCTGGAGTAACACTGGTTCAAACACTGATGTAAACAACCCTACTATTTTTTTCATGTTATTAATTATTGATTAATCAAAATATTGAATGCTAGGAAAAAGTGATCACACATTGAATCGAATATGGAATGACTACAACCGATACTAGAACTGCTTCAAATGTTGAAATGTGTAAAGGATAGTTGAGTTCATTTCCATTGGGTAAGATTAGCAACATCTCTCAAGAGTCAGTCACAACATAAGTTGGGTGCTTGAGAATCGACTGCAAACATCTTGGCAATGTCAAAACCATATAGATCAGGTACTCATCCAATTCCTTATTTCGTGCGAACATTATATTTTTTATTATCCCACATTGAACGTTAAAATCTTCGTTTGTTTGAAGATATAACCTCGTGCTCCAACCGTTCTCTACCAGAATCTGAATAAAAAACCACTACGGTCTACTCTTTCATGTTAGAAAACGAGCGGTAAATGCCATCATTAAAATTACTTGTTGAGCTATAAAATAACACCGAAACGTGTTACATACAACTCCATTTCATCAAATTATGTCTCAATTGAAGAAATGATTTGATCTAAGAAGCCGCTTTCAGACATCATAAACTGAAAATCTTAAAACACATCATTAGAACTGATATCCTATATATCACACAAAGAAGTGTGTAAAACAATTCTATCTGTTTATTAATCATAAGGTTTGTTGATGATGATAACAGCATATCGTTGTCACTGCATCTGTTCTATTATGTAGTAGGTTCTACCACGATCGAGATAACTGTACCAAACATTTCTGTACGTTGATGATTATACAAACTAATAAAGAGCGATTTGCTTGTGAACAGTCGTTCATAATGATGACAAATCACCCTTGGTGTCTTTTCCCTACATAAGTTTATTCAGTCTTTTGAACACATTAAAATTTTACATATATTAATATATGTAAATTAACATATCAACCAGTCAACTTTTAAGAAACTTACGGTTAACCATATTCAATAAATATTAAGGCAGATAATTTGATCGAGCAGCACAAATGCTAAAAAATCCAATAACATTTACTCTTGTCTTATTAATTCTTGCTAAAAGCTTTCATTGTTTTACTCCACTATTGTTTCACCTTGAAACCGAAAGCCTCGTTGCTGTATTCAACTGGGCTTTATTTTTCACTAATTATTCTAACTGTTTTGGATCAACTTCTATTGACCACTCACTTTCACCACCCTTTCTCAATGCGAAAGATTGACACCCTTAATCTTTTCACGGGTTTTGACGTTGAATTTACTTGTTGATCAGAACATTTAGAAGCGTGAATACAGAATTTAAACGACTCATCGCATCGTGTATGGCATCAGTTACTCGAAAAAAGCTTGTTGTTGTTGGAGATGGCGCGTGTGGAAAAACATGTCTTCTAACCGTCTTCTGCAAAGGAGAGTTCCCCAGTTTATATGTTCCGACGATTTTTGAAAGTTTTGTTTCGGAGATGCAAATTAATAATAAGCGTGTAAATAATTTGTTAACAAACTAATTGAGTCAGGTTGAACTAAATTTGTGGGATACAGCTGGGCAAGAAGATTATGATCGACTACGTCCACTTTCTTATCCTGACACAAATGTCGTCGTGCTTTGTTTCAGTGTAGACAATCCTGACAGCTTGGATAATATCAGCACAAAATGGATGCCTGAAGTATTGAAGCTTAGACTTTCTAAACTACTATACCTAGATCAGGAATTTTTTGCCAAACATCCCTGTAATACTTGTTGCAAACAAAAAAGATTTAAGAAATGATTATTCAACAAAAAGGGAACTTCAGAGAATGAAACAAAAACCTGTTACAGAATCCGAAGGGAGAAGTGTAGCGAAAGTTATAGGGGCACAGGCATATATTGAATGTTCAGGTAACTTTATTTGCTCTGATTCATCTTTTGCAGCTAAGCAAAAGGAAGGCGTTAATGATGTATTTGAAACTGCTGCTAGAATAGCTACAGATTTCAAGACAAAAAAACGCTTATGTACGATTACATAATACTGAAGTTGATTCTCAATGATAAACAACACAAACATTCATCGTCGTTTTATCTTTTGCACTTAGTCTTACATTCACCGGCTAATAATTATTACTTCTTGAAGAACTTACATATATGATGTGTTTTATATGTTACGATGTAACTCAAACATGTTATAAAAACTTTTTCCTTCAGTATAACTAGGTTTTGTGCTTTCTGACAGTGCAGAAACATTTTTTCGTTGATATTTTTGCAGTCATGTGCATATTATTATTGGTTTACACCTAAATCTCCACCTGTATGTTTTAAAACATTAATGTATTAATTTTTGCTTGGCTTTTGTAGCTCATTGTCATTGGGATAGGTTTGGCAAGACACTTTGATAAGAGTGGAGTCTTTAAGATTTACCGTATTGCATTTCTTTGGTAAATCATTTATTATATTAACATATGTACATATCGTTAACACAAACTTCACTTTTATTTGACTTTTTTGATGAAGATAGTTTTTAAGTCTTAACTGATTATTTCTTTATTTGGAGAGAGCTGAGAGCTATGTTTATGTTTCGTAGTGTGTTGAAGCAAATTTAATTAGCGAGTAGAAAACGTCGTACGATATTATTTGAGTCGTAATACCATTTATCCGAATAATAATTTTAAGCATAGTTAAATAGCTTATTAAAAGCAAAAACCTTATGTACCACTAAGTCATAAATTAGAGTGATATAGTAAGTTAGTCAGAATAAACATCACTACTGTTTTTCACAGCATCAGTTGACAATGTAATAGCTGGCATTGTAAGAGCTTTTGGCCTTTACGAATATACAAACCGTAGTTTGGAAGTTAGTTATAATTAATATAAATGTTTGCGTGATGTCCGTTAGCCTAGGATACCTTGCTGCAGCAAAGCTACTAAATGGAAACATAAAAAGAAACATAAGGAAGTCTAAATAATTGTATTAGCAAAGTTGACGAGAAATGCTAAATGTCAAGAATATGGTTCGATAAAACAAACTGGAAATATGTGTGTGAATGAACACTTGAACCAAAGATCTAGAGGAAAATAAGAAATATATTTAATTGATTTAGTGTAGTTAATTTTGATATATGTCACTGCACTTCTCTAATAAATGATTGTGATTATCGCACAAAATTCAAGTAGGCTTGAAACTCAGTGTATTGAGTTAAGCTACCATTTATTATGTATAAACTCAAGGGAGCATGATAACACACGGTTTCAATGAGATCGATGTGGATTCTTAATCTGTTTACCCAATATACCGTTAAAATCTTATGTTCAATAATAATAACAATAACACAGTTTAGATCTAATTTATGAACGAAACATTCTTACCACTCATGTACATAATGATGTTGTTAAACCTCATGTCAATGAAGCGACATGTATATTTCATATCTCAATACGTACGACCTATGTAAGTAATTATTATTGACTTAGCTAGATTATAAAAGTTCTTGATGTAGTTTCTATGAGGAGTTGGAAAGGATTTAAAAAACAAACCTCATATCCGTAAGGTCACTTTGTAATGAGTTAGTGACTCAACTAGTAACCTTTTAAAACTTTTAAACGAAGAGCTCTGAGGTCCAAAAAACGTTTTACCTTGTTTGTTTTGTCCTTTTGAGATTCAATAAAACCTTATTTTAGTGTTATATATAGAGAGGGCTTTTGTAATAGCAGAAGGTCTTCACGAGTGACTTAGTTGCACTTTTCATAAAAGTATGAAGAATTTACATTTGTTCTGCTTAAGCTCTACGTAAAAAAGATTAATCAAAGTGTAGTAATCGTCACACGGTATCATAGAGGAAAATTGTTTAGATCGTGCATGTGTACTTTGCAGATGATAAACAAAGACCCGTAAATGTGGTATCATATTAGAAGTCAAGAAACAAGACTCCTATGAAGGCGATTAGAACTGCTTAGTTACTTCTAACTTAAAGATAAACATAGGTTTTTCCAGACTTAAGACAGTTTGGAATGAGCTAACCAGATAACGTATGATAGTCTGGACAGAAAGATATACACTGATAACTCTCCTGTTGTATAATAGTAGCAATTAAACGGAATAAAATGGATGCGTCACATATTTCATCTGACTTGTCTATGACAGTAACATTGTAAAATGAATGCGTGATAATCACACGCTTATCTACTTGATTTTTGCTTTCAGCTTTGTTCTCAAATCATAATATGCAATTATTCCTATTCTTCACTGTCTGAAAAACGAAGTATTAACAGCGTAAGAGCACTCAACTATTGTGAAAATGTATCAGATTTCACAATTGATTGATCACTGGGTGGTTATCAATGTCATGCTTGTCTAGTCCTTATTAGTACAGATCGAATGCTATTGATCATGTTGCAATGTGGCCACCAGTCTAGGTGACTCGACACTGCGGGTACTATGTATTGAGATTTGGATGGTGTTTGGAGGTCTCTGACTGTGAAGCTGGGTGACACGAGATCGAATCTGCCAGGGAGCACCAGTTCCCTCAAGATTACAGGTACATCTTTCTGACGAGTGCCAAGTAGCACGAAACCCGGGTCCAGGGTTTCCTGTTGACTACCTCCAACCACCATCTAAATGTATCAGATTCCTATGTTATTGAAGTTAAATTAGCACTAATAAGGTTCGTGTCATTTTTAGATAGGATTGTCAAACATATATTCGTATTATCATTCTTAGAGGTGTATAGTATCAATAGTGAAAAACAAAATCGATATTAACGATTGATACATTCGGAAGGTCTGAGTATGAAAACATTTCTTAGATTGGAGAATAAAGGCTTGATTTAAAATTAAGTGTTTATATAAAATGAAACCCAGGTGAGTACAAACAAAAGTAAAGATCTCATTTTTGATATGAAAATGAGTTTATGAATTAAATGCCCAAAATAGAAAGCAGTTTAGTTTACATAATTCGGCAGAATACAAGAATATATGTTTATCTTACAACCCAAGTATTTAATAATGAACTTTAGCTATATTAAAGTTTCGTGAAGAGTTTTATTTCTTTTCAAATACTCAAATCTTTCTGAATAATGGATCAGAAATGAATAACGCTTATCATATTATTCTATGTACACAACAGTTTAAGTTGAACTTTAGAAACAATCTTGTTTTTTATTTTAAAAAAGATTATCTATTCAGTGGAGTGGCTTACCAAAAAACAATATAAACTTTAACTATTCTAACTTAATTACTCGACATAATCCTTATCAAACCTTATTAAACTGAATAACAACAAAAGTCATTTATAAGAACTTTCGTCTAAATTTGATCCAATAATTTCACAGTATTTAAGCGCTGAGTTAATGTAAGACATTAAACAGGAAGAATGTATTTGTAAAATCTCAGTGAATTCAAATTCTTTTGCTAAGATTTGACAAATACATTCTTCCTCTTTAAAAGTCATTAAGATTTATCATATTTATTTTGTATTATTACTTATAAAACTACTTTGATATAAAAACATGCAAATCATGTGATAAAATAGCATACTTTAGTATTTATCTAAGAAGGATACATGTGATTCAAATTGAGTCTAGATGGTAAAAATATTAAATTGTAACATCATAATTTAAAGGCATAAAACTCACAAATGAAGTCTTTTAATTGATTTACAATTGACGGATCACAATTACCATAAATCTTTAATTTAATATTAAACATACTATCTAACATAAATAAATAATTTCAATAGTTAAGATCATGAGTCGGTTGAAACTAGACCACCATGGAAAACCAGGAACCACTGAACAATAGTCTAGTGGTTAAGTGCTCGCGCACGAAACCAGTAAGTCCTGGGTTCGAACCCCGCAGGGGGGCGAGGCCGCGGATGCGCATTACTGAGGAGTCCCACAAAAGGACAAAACGGCCGTCCAGTGCTTCGAGGTTTTTCTTGGTGGTCTAGCTTCAACTGACTCATGATCTTAACCATTGAAATTACTATAATATCCACAAAACTCATCTAATATAAATAAATAAGTTGATTAGTGTGAAAGTTGAATCTTCTTAACAAAGATTAAAAGTTTATGGCTTTAATACTTTCTTTTCAACTTAGCAATTATACATTCATCCAAGATTTGAATTTATCTTAGAGATGAAAAACTGTCGTTCAATGTTGTGTAAAATAAATTGTAAGAAGTAAGATAAATTTAAAATTTAAATTATAAAACGTTTCATTATGTATCTTCTTAAAGTCAACTTTTGTGTCTAATGCTTGTTCCCCAATTAAAAAAATAAGAACAGCCACAATTAATTATAGATTTTTAAAGAAAATACAGCAATACTGTTAAGATCAGATCCATTAAACTCAAATTAAAGTTTAATTATGGAGTCTAAACATTCCATCTCATTCAAAACAATTTACTGAAGATTTAGCAAATACTATTATTCTAATAACGAAAAAAAATGGTTAACCAAAAACACATATTTATTATCAGAAAAGGGTTTCGTGGATATTATAATAGTTTAATAGTTGAGTTTATGAGTTGTTTGGAGTTAGACCACCATGCAAAACCTAGAAGCACTGGACGTTCGTTTCGTTCTAGTGTGGAAATCCCCATCAGTGCGCATCCACGATTCCGCCCAGCAGGATACGAACCCAGAACCTATCAGTCTTGCGCGCGAACACTTAACCACTAGATCACCAAGCCGGCCTCCAACGGTGTTAATATTTAACTTCAACCAATCCACATGTAATGAACTGAAAACAAACTGACTTTAAGTTAAATTACATTTGTATATTTCATAAATGATTGACATTTTTATATGTCAATCGACTTAAGATTAGTCTAAAGTTCATATCTTCGGTAAACCATATATTTTGTTAGTCTAAAATCGTCATAAATAGATTTTAGTTAAAAAAGATGTTTTAAAATTACTAGTTTGATTTAATGATTTGTAGCTTTGATATCAGTCATTATATTATGATTGCTTACCGAATCTTTTTTTACAGAATACTAGAATAATGAATTTAGAAAATAGTTCATTAATGTTTGATTAAAAATAGTTGGAATCACTGACCAATGTCTTGTGCTCGTTGACATAATTAAAGTATATATGTAATTTTTAGGAAACGTATACTTACTATATGTAAAAGCGTTACCTCTGGGCAAATAATCTTCTGTAGAACAAGTGGTCTTATTGAAACTATATCAGTGAGATTCGATTAACACTAAATCATTACACAACATCCCCCATTGTTTGAAAATACTAGAAAGAGTGTTTATACCTTGAGACTAGATTAGTCAACTAAAGAAAACGTTGAATGATGCAATTTAGTTAATCTATGAGTTCATCAAAATATGATAACTGATATCTATTAAAAACTATTTACATGAATTTACCAAATTAATATTTAATTTCCAACCTTTTGGAACAACCATCTGTCAAAACAGTAAAGATACTAATTTTGGTAACTTATTAAAGTGGTAGGACAATAATCCCTCAATCTTTGAAATATGTAAATAAACTGCCTTAACTTTGGATTACATTTAAGTTATTATTTTCAACTTATATCACGTCTGATACTTCAGTAAATTACTGGTATAGACCAATAGATTACTCATGTATATATTCACCCTTATCACAAACCCAGGTATCCCGTTTGTTACACCATTTATTCAAAAATCTTAAATGTATTATTGCTTACTTTGATCTCTTCAAGGATATGATCAAAATAAAGAAAACGGTCACTTTCAAGTTTGAAAAAAAAACTGCACAGATCTTTTGCCAAGTGATATATTTCAATTTAAATAATTGTAACCAATGTAGTCTAATAAATGAAATTGATCAATAAATTTAGTGAAACCAATAGCAATTATTGATTTAATTATCTTAATTGTATAAAACTAATTGAAATTCTTTTGTTGATATTAGTTTTTTTAACAATTCAAGTTCAGATAATACTACAATGACAAATTTGACTAAATTGTTCTCTTTTTCTAAATGAAAATTTAAGTTTACTACTTAAATCCATAGAACATATAGATCATTAATTAATTTTTTATAGGTAATACTTTATTTCCATAATGTAATAAGAAGACAAAGATTATTAGAACTATATGATAATATATTAGCGTAATACATTTCGAACAATCTGATCACCCATGTACATGTTAAGAATATTTATGCATAAAAATAAGAGGCCGACTGGACTAGAAATGGAGGGTAATAGGAAACTTTTTATTTTTATATATACATGTTATTAACAAGTACATGTATGGTCAGATCATTCAAAATGTATTACGCTAATATATCATCACATAGTTCTAATAATCTTCATCTTATTATTACATTATCAACATTTATCAAAGGGACTAATTGCTTTAAAAATACTTTATTCATTTATGATAATTCAATGCAATTTTAATAGAGTTCCATCTAGAGAAGAATAAATAAATATAAATCATTTTATTAATAAATGCTTGTAACTAGTCTGTCTTTTAGTCAATTTCAACTTTATCTAAGAGTTATTAAATTATGAAAGGATTAAGAGATAGGTTAGTAGTAGTAAACAACAATTGTTTGAGATGATGAAGAAGATTCGTAGCTTAGGTGAATGATTTTAATAGAGTTTTGTTCTCTGAATTAAATGGTTTGGTCGATCAATGCAATTGTTTGATATGAGAATATCTCTTTCTTTTTTTTCAGTTTAATGAATACAATGCAAAGATATACACAAAATATGGTCACTTTACAATAATAATAATCTGTTGGATTCGAATTTTTATATACCATTGATAAAACTCTTTTAGTTTAATTGTATATTAGTCAGTATATCATTGTATTATGTAATAATGTATTAGTAAGTATTCATATTCATACACGTTTACATACTGATAACTTATTTGTATTATAATGTAAATTTTTCACACCTTAAGTAGATAAATAAAATAAGAAAAACCTCCTTTAATTCAGTTTAAACACGTAAATATAAACATATTTCACGAACTCTTTATAACTAGCTGTTAATTTCGTTTAAAGGGTTGTGTTAATAAATGATATGATATCAATAAATATACATATCAATTCAACGAGCTCAATAAACAAGTATACGACTCATCACGTTTCATTTTCATGTATTTAACATCAAATCTAAAGTATAATATTAATTCTTCAAAATTACTCTATAAATACATTATATGCGGGTCAGGAAAAGGAAAATAAAAAAATTTACTGTGAATGCACATATTTCAATCTAGTATGATAGCCAAATTTTTGTCTCTATAGGTTAACAATATTGTCACTGATTATAAAGTCAAAAAATATTGATTATTGAAATATTGTAAAAAAAAGTTTACACTAATCAATGTATTTCAAAGCAATACATTCGTTTATTAAAATTAAAAGTCATAAACTGATCTATCGTGAAAAGGATTACTATGTGTAATCATTCTACAGCCAAATAAATAAACTGAGTATAATATGATTAAAAATTGAGAAATAGTGGAGAAAATGAAAAGCTTTTAATGAGAATTCTATTATCAACTTATTCACTTATGTTATGACTCATGGAGGTGAGTAGGAAGTTCATAAAGATTCTCCATCGAACTCTGTTTTGGACAATCCTTTCCCAGTTGTTTCCAGTTGTTATTCATTCTTTTAATGTTTGCATTCAATTTCCGATAATATGTGTTCCTGAGTCTCCCTCTTTTTCCTTTTCCCTTCAGGATTCCAAGTTCGAGCTTGCCTCGTGATACAGTTTGGTGATTTCCGCAATGTATGTCCTATCCACTTCCAGCATCTTTTCTTAATTTCCTCTTCAGCTGAAAATTGGTTTTTCCTCTGTCACAGTAGGTTGTTGCTGATGGTAGCCGGCTAGCGGATCTGAAGTATCTTGTGTAGACAATTATTTATGAATACCAGTACTTTTTTGATGATGATGATTGTGGTAGTTCTCGACGTTTCAGCTCTGTGCAATAGAACTGTCTTGACATTAGTATTCAAAATTCCGACTTTGATATACGTATTAATTGCTTTGCTTTAGTGTCTGAAAGAATCTCGTCTTTCACCAGATTCATTCATACACTAGAGCAAAGTAATTAATAATAATAAACTTTTCTGTAGACAAAAAAATTATTATACTCATCGTGTTTATAATTCATGAACGAGGTCAAATGAATTAAGTAAGAACTAGGTTACAAATGTTCTTGAATATATATGTCAGTAATTAAATCCCTCAGGACTGAATGGGACACAAATGGACTGAAATGATAGAAGTATTTGGATTAGTACTATAATCAGACCTCGTTTTAATTGAACTGGATTTATATCAACACTGTCACTTAGATTTACAAACAATTGTATTAGAATAGAAATATACTGGTAATAGAGTGACCAGCAGTTGTATTGTAATGAACTAAATCCACGACTTCATTAGACTGGTCTAGTCTGAATTCTACTGAAATGAATTCAAACGGTCCAGAGTTTCCATTGGTCAGAGTTTCTCACGTATTTGTACGTCAGTGTAGTGATGGTATATGATGAACAGATGGATACGTGAACAGGCAAGCAAATGAAAAAATATTGGAAGAATTCGCATATAAGGCATTTGAATTAATCCGACAACTGAACACAGGTTAACCGGTAGAATTGAACTAATGCATTTGACAGTCACATTCTCAATTAAATAACGTATTCCGAAATAAATATACAAATAAGCTCAGTTATTATGTCTTCATTAAATACCATGAACTGATGAGTTAGCCAAATAAAATGTTTGGAGAAACAACTGGATTGTGCAATTGTCTTTTTTTCGGTGTCATGGTTTAAGCATTAGCAAGTTCGAAACAACGTATTTAGTTGAGGTAGATTTACACAATAGAAATCATTATAGATAAAAAATTACTTGACTTTCAATGATCATATTCAAAAGAGACATTACGACTTGTGAAGGCACAATTTCATTCTGTTAAAATTGTTATTCGTTTCATCATGTTACAATACTACTACTGACTTTAAATTCGAACCTAACCATTATTTCTTATTACTGTATCTGGTTAACGATTCATTGGATTGTAACGTTGCTACTAATCTATGGTAATTATAAATTTTTACACTTTTTGATTGTTTCCAATACTACAACTATCAAACTATAAAGATGAAAATTTCCCAATTACTGTCACTTGATTACTGCGTTACATTTAATTATTTGGCAAACCTATAATGCTTTTCACAATCAAACTTAAAAACTGATTATCATCACTTCACACCTTTGTTACTCATAGAATGACATTTTTAGACTTAAATTTATTCATTCAATTATGATTTTGAGGGATATTTGTTGTTAAACACTGTTTTCAGCCTTATCATGCCCAATAGTTGTTGGATACATTGAAAGTCAGTTTTGATTGCGCGGTATAAATTTACACTTGTCAGTTACATAAAATTTGTTGCAATTCGAAGAATAACTACTGGTGAGAATCTACGATTGCTGGATGAATAAAATAAGTCGAACCGCAAGTAAATAGTTTGTATGGAACAGTCGTTCAATGATTAAAGCAATTAACATTCAACATATAGCTTAAGAATCTGAGTCCCACTTCATTTACTTCAGTTTTGGCAGATACAATCTCACCAAAAGTTTGGTTTAAACTCGAGTAAATAAACTTGTATTTAGAAAATAAACTACATTAACATATAAATAGAATTCAATGCTGAAGTCGAGCTAATTAAAAGTTCAGTGTTTATGTAAGAAACTTTATTAAGATATTTGTTCCTATATAATACAATATAATAAGTAAAAATAAGATCAGAATAGGTTTTGTGGAGATTTTAGAAATTCCACTGGTTGAAATCATGAGCCAGTTGAAGCCAAACCACCATGGAAAACCTGGAAGCGCTGGAATACTGTTTCGTCCTAGTGTGTGACTCCTCGTCAGTGCGCATCCACGACTCCGCTCCCCGCGAGATTCGAACCCAGGACCTATCAGTCTCGCGCCAGGTGCTTAACCAACTAGGCCACTGAGTCGGCATCCAGCGGTGTTAATATCTAACTTCAACCAATCCATGAAGTTGCGCCACCGTACACCATTGTCTTCAGTGAGTTCCTATCTCACAACAGACCTGGTTGAACTCCGCTGGTAACGACTTCCCACTAGAAGTCAGACATTAACACCGTTGGATGCCGGCTCAGTGGTCTAGTTGGTTAGGCACTTGGCGCAACTGATAGGTCCTGGGTTCGAATCTCGCGGGGGGCGGAATCGTGGATGCACACTGATGAGGAGTCCCACACTAGGACGAAACGGTCTTCCAGTGCTTCCAGGTTTTCCATGGTGGTCTAGCTTCAACTGACTCATTATTTCAACCAGTAAAAATAAGATAGTTAAAGTAACACAAAGTTACATTAACAATGATTTGTTCATCTATATAAAACATTTTTAAGAAAGTCGTTTTTTCATTAAAGTTTATCACTATAATACACAAATTCAATTATTTCCTGTTTACTTTTTGTTAGCTTGTTCACTTCTTTTTTTCAGAATCATTAACATAATCGATTATTTCAACGACCTTCAAAAAATCACGATTGTGCGTACAACAAATTGTGAGTTCATATAATTATGACAGGACTCATGATTGGCTAGTTCAGAATGTATATATATTTGTTTTTTTTTCAAAATTTAGCTGTTGTTTGTCAAGATTCAATGATTCAAACAAATGACTTCATTTCGATATATATATATAAGATAATGATGAGTAGAAATAAAAGTGCTTATTTTGCAATTATGAGGCAATAAATTTATTATCAGAATAGGTTTTGTGAAGATTTTTAGAAATTTCACAGGTTAAAATCATGAGTCAACTGAAGCTAGACCACCATGGATGCGCACTGCTGAGGAGTCTCATACTAGGACGAAACGGCCGTCCACTGCTTCCAGGTTTTCCATAATGGTCTAGCTTCAATTGACTCATGATTTCAACATGTGAAGTAAATTTATTATTCTATCATTTCATGATGTATGTGTGATCTTCAATGTTTCGTTAATGTTTATCCTTTTCAGTTTAATAATCCCCATAGAATATCCAAAAATGAAGAATATTTGAGCGAACAATTGTTTTCAATAACTTCATCATCAGGCTCTACAGTTATAAGTCCATAATTATGATATTTTACAAAGGCAAAAAATAAGGCATGTATTAATGAATTTGAGAATGTTATATGTTAAAAATGGTAAATCTTTGCATCTGTTACGAAATATATATGCTTCAAAATTGTATTATTTGACAAATTAGAAAGGTCAGGATGATTTGGAGTAAAGTGTGTAGTCACCATAAGTATAATAGTATTATAACAAACATGAAAATGCAAAAGATTGTGTGAATTAAATGCATAATAGGCGAATTTAATATTGTCAATTGAGATAACAATAATAATATTGTTGTGTGAATATAATATGTAATAAAGGGGGTGTTATCAAGGTAATTACGATAAACGAATTGGGAATGATTGATGTGAAGATTAAGATAGAGATAATAAAAAATAATGATAGTAAGGAAAAAAACGAAATAAATGAAAATAAAGGAAGGGGGTAAGAGGTTTATAAATATTCAGTCTAGGTATTCGGTGATCCAGTCGTAGGCCTTTATGTTAACTGTTTTCAAATGAAATCATTTTCATAAGTTTCTCATATTGGTCTAAAGCGAAAGTATCAACTCTAAGATATTTAGGTACATTTTTACTCATCTGTAAACACTAAATGGTTCAATACTGTATTTTGATTTTTTAAAAAACTTTCGTCCACGAAAGAAGAAAGTAGTTGTCCGACACTCATTAATTTGTAATGACCCATTGAAAAATAGTATGTCAAAAGCACTACTAATATTTGGTTCTCCTAATTAATTTGACTAAATATGTAGTGAACAGAACACAGGTAAGGATACCGAATGTATTTAACGCAACATTACAGGACTTGTTAATAAAATCTAACAATCATATAGTTAATGCTTAATTTGCAAAACGTCCACCAATTGTCTCAAAATGACTCGGACTTCATTGTTCTTGTATTTTCATGCAAATTGCATCCTGTTCCCATTCTTTACTGTTCGATCCTCTTGTCTCTCTGCTGCCAGACCTTCTGTTCACGACTAACACCATATATTACTTATGTCAATATAAGTAGCATACACCACAAGTAAAGTCAACTAATTGTTAATGAAGTGTATTATAATAATAGGAAAAGAGGTTTTCTTCAGACAACCACAAATAATATTATGTCATTCATGAGAATGTGGATTAATTTTGATATCGAAAGTGATTATCAGTAAACAAAAATAAAATTTACATCACGCAAATACATCCATTTTATGGTGAACTTGACGGTGTTTTTATGAATGTACTATTTTAATCAAACTGCTGAATTTAAGAACATTTTGACTCACATATATACAACAAAATTTACTGAAACGCAAAATTATAATCACGAGTCAAACTATCTACTTGATTGCGTTCGTGCGCAAGTGTTGGAAATTCACTAGAAGCATAGTGTATGTACACTGCTGAGAAGTCCCATACCAGTGCCTTCACGTTTTTAATGGTTGTTTAACATTGATCAATTCATAATCTCAATCATACAAATATCTACTTGATGTCAAATGATTGAAGGTAATCGATTAAATGCATTGTACTTATATCCTGTTCTGTTTTTCACTAGTCAACAAGATTTGTCTGCAGTTCTGAGGAAAGTGGCATCATCAATAAACTATTCGGGTCTCTACTAGCCTCCTAAAAAATTAAAATTCACAATAAAAAACCCGCATCTTCATATAAAGTTGCATTGCAAGGCTACAGAGTAAATCACATGGAGTTAGATGCTGTTTACTGATTAGTCAGTTTAAACCCACACAAAGCAGAAATATATTTCATCATGTGACTTTAAAAAGTATTTAATTTATTGAAGAGAAGATGGTGCTTTTTATAAAACTGGGTTATTACCATACTCAAAAAAGATTTCCTGCTACTAGGATAATACGAAATAATTCATAAATGTATTAAGTAGAAAGAATTTCGTATGAAAGAATGATAGCATAACTGACTTCTTTTTCGTCACATCAACTCATCGATCTCCTTTTGTAAACATTTAAGTGTAAGTTTAAAGTTCATTTGACATTAAATAATGTTAGATATCATGGTGTATAGTGGTGACTGTTTTAACATGTATAATAATTGTAAATAACAATAAAAAAATTAATGGATAACTAAAAATAATAAGTTATGAAGAACTTATATCCGAATTCAGTAAAAGTATGACAGTTCTATTCGTTAGGTTAAAATCAAACGAACTACTTTAAAAGGGGTTTGAATAAGAAATTTGTGCACAAAGTTTGGCATTAGAGGTTCATGAAACCAAACCTGTTTCGCAGAATGATATGTCTAGTTCCATATTTTAGCATGCTTTAAAGCTCTTTCTGATTTACAAATTATGATGACAACTTGTTTGCCTTATCTTCATCCTTTTTGTGTTCGTTAGATGGAAAAGTGTCTTTTGGTTAGAGATCCAGTGAAAGAACACCTATATAAACTACATACTCTTAGAACTGAGCTAATATCATTCCAGTTAAATCACAACTCATAAAAATAAATGAATTATTAAGTAAACGGATGAATCCACTCAAAATATGTGTATTGAACATAAGCATTTACACTGAAAACTAAAATAATCTTTTAAATTAAAAGCATAATAGCTCATGCACAGTTCTCAGTTTAACTGCTTAGTAGATGTTACACACTGAAATCGATTTCGGAAAATGATGTATCTTTTTCTACTTATAAACTACCAGACTATAAAACACACTACTGGAGTTTTTGTCATGAACGGTCATTAACTGGAGACCCAATAATAATTAAGGCATTGTGGATGGTTGTTTTGCTCCAAGATCAAAAACGCATACAACATAAGAGATCAAACTATAATAATTTTAGATCACTGACCTCCACAATGTCTGGCATTTCAAACTTCAGTTTATTTTCGATATAGTCTAATGATTGGTAGATAACATCCACCCCCACAAGTCATAAATTTTCACCAGAAGTTTAGGAATCTGTCTCAAAAATAACCACTGTTACTTTCTTGTTTACCTGAGATGAGTTTAATCTGATATCGGTTTTTGTTATCAACTCCTGAAATATGAACAGATAATAATCTCTAGATGACTCTCAAGTAGTTAGTTGAAGTGATTTTAAAGACCTATACTACATAAAGAAGTAAATATAATTTTTTCATGATTAAACAATGACATTGAAATATATGCGCATTGGAAATCAATAAGTCCCAAATACTAAACTTTGGACGATTACTAAAATTCTTTTCTCTCAATGATATGAAAGGTAAATCTAGTACATTAAATAAGTATTTTGTCTTATTGATTAGCATTAAGTCTCATTCTATCTAAAAATCTCAAAATACATAGAAAACCCAACTTGTTACCTTTAATTTCCAAGATCACTTATCAAAAGAAATTAAAAACCATGATAACCACTTTTATACAGAATATTCGACGAATGTTTGGTGATTAAGAGTAATCTCCAGGGGGCGTTTGACGTGGGTTTAATGTTGGTTGGAACTCACCAGCAAGGTATGCCCGTGATCTTCAATAAGCAGATGTTCCCGTGGGACTCGAGCACGCGTCATCTGCTGTCATAGTTACAGTGGTTATCCATGAATAATCTAGGTCGATAACGACCTTCTGTAAGAATAATTACTCCCCTTAGTATTGCTAATAAGCCATGCTGACGAAAAGTGTATAAAATAAAACATACTTTCAAAGGTTTCTTCTGATAACCCAAGTCTTTTTTCTCATTTATCAGGTCATCCAAAAGTTAAAGCAAAGAAAAGATACAGCCTCATCCCGCGGATATCCGTCTCCGGCGGTAGGGTCTCAACAAGTACGGAGCCAACACAAAAATTACTCATAAAAAGGTTGTGTGTGACCGACCTCAAGCAGTTGTCCCTTTGGCACTGCGGTTACGCTCTCAGGTCACTAAGACCATCTCTAATCCAATTTCCTTCTTGTGTACCTCTAGAAGAACCCTTCTTTAGTATAGGCAACCGGGAAGTGATAGCCGCCCTCATAACTCTAATAGTACTCAAGACCACTGTAATCATAATCAACCTCCCACTTCAATTCCTATTATTCCTCCTACATCGACTTTCAACTCTAAACTTCCTCTTTCGGCTTCCCCCTCAAGTGTCACCATAGCCAACGATTCTAGTGCATGAAACACTGTCCCAGGTCTACTGAAACCTCGCTCTACACTACACATTGGAGCCTTCAATGTACGCACCGTATGTCAAATCTGTCAGCAGGCTTCCTTGGCTAGAACCCTAGAATCTCGTGCTATTGATGTATGCTGTGTCTTCGAAACACGCACACAGGATCCCAGTGTGGTCATTCACTTGACCTCACCTCGGCAAAACGGAGAGCCGACGAGATACACCCTCCGTGTATCTGGCGATCCAATGGCTAGTTCTCGTGGACTAGGAGGTGCAAGCCTACCACTAAACATGAGGGCGGAACAAGCACTGCTAGAGTGGATCCCCGTTAACAGTCTCCCATGTTCTGTTCGGTTAAACGGCTCCGTAAGAACTCGGAAGGATAGGGACACACGTCGTTGCCTTTTTGTCGTTTCTGCCTACGCTCTCACCGACTGCAGCTCAGATGAAGTGAAAGCTGAATTTTGCAGAAAGCTATCTGAACTTCTTCAGAAAGCTAAACGCTCAGACATAGTACTCGTAGCAGGTGACTTTAGTGTTCAAGTAGGTAGCCGAAACCAAACAGAAAGACATTTAGGTGGTTATTTTAGTATTCCGATACAACGAACAGATAATGGCGATCGTCTGCTGCAACTGTGCTCAGACAATCGTTTATTTTTAGCAAACACAAGTTTTAAGCATAAGGAGAGACATCGTCTAACATGGCGACCCTCTACATCAAACCGACGATGGATTCAAATAGATCATATTGCCATCAGTCATCGTTGAAGAGGGTCGGTAGAAGATTGTCGCTCATTCTGTAGTACCTGCTTGGA